CATTCACCCGTTCAAACAATCATTCACCCATTCAAACAATCATTCATCCATTCAAACAATCATTCACCCATTCAAATAATCATTCACCCATTCAAACAATCATTCACCCATTCAAATAATCATTCACCCATTCAAACAATCATTCACCCATTCAAACAATCATTCATCCATTCAAACAATCATTCGTCCCACTGTTCCATTTCTATAATAACTCGTCCATCTCACCTATATACACTGTACTTCACAACCAATCATCCCATTCATCCCACCATCCATACTTCTATCCATCCCTTTCAGTGTTTCAATCATTCAAACTATTTTCTTTAAAACTATTCTAACCCCTGTCATAATTATTTGCTTCTTGTAACAGAGTTCAACATGAAAACAAGTTTCCAATCACTGGTATTGCCTGGAATCCTTCAGGTACTAAAGAAATTGCTTACACGGACAACCAGGTAACTAGCAAAAAAAATGCATACATTTATTATTGTTGCCATGTTCACTGATGTTACAGTCAATTCCTTTGGCCAAATCCACAACCCCAATGAAAGAATAATTTTCTCTAGCTGTAATTAAAATCCCTAACCAGGACAGGTAGCAGTCTTCAAATCTCAAATAGTGTGATAAGCTGCTATGTTTCTTGATTATAGTCACAATAACACAAGATTACCCTACATTTTTGCATCAAAACTTAAATATTCACAAATGCCAACAGTAAAGTAAAGAATGCACAATTTCAGCTATAAAACCACTTTGAAATTCCACAAACCTTTAATGGAACATGTGAATATTCTACAGAAAATCAAGGCTAGCCCTGAGCAACAGAGTATTTAAAACTAGACTAATATTCCACGGGTTGTCCACCTTAGTGCCTCAGATCTCAACACTGATAGATTTTAGATGTAACGACTCTGGCATAATGAATTGATATGAAAAATACCAGATAAATTAAAGATACTGATAGATCCATTACTACCAATAATCCTGCTTTACAAATATATAAACCTGAGTGTGTAACCTTGTGTGACATTTTATTTGATTCTTCCAAATCAGGGACAGTTTGGTATAATTGAGAATATTTCTACCAAGTCTACAGTAACAAAGCCTTCAGGATCAGAGGTACTGTGCATATACATGCCTATAACTATTGTGATCTTACTGTAGTACTTAGACCAGGGTTCACGCTGCTCCTGGAATTCCTGGAAAACTTTTGGAATTTTGAACATTTCTTGCAGGACCCTGGAAAACTCATTGAAAAATTTTATTTGACATCCCATGGCCAAGATTGAAAATATCATAGCTCAATCCCTGATTTACAGAATTCACTTCACTTGTCAATCAAGACCCACCAAAAAATGATTGAGACTAATGTGATGTGGGTCTCAGGGCCCTGATTGAGAATATAGCTCAATACCTGATTTACAGAATTCACCTAACTTACTAATCGACGCCCAGCAAACAATGATTGGGACTCGAATATGATCAGTTATATGGGTCCCAGGGCCCAGGTGGAAAATATAGCTCAATCCCTGATTTACAGAATTCACCTAACTTACTGGTCGACGCCCAGCAAACAATGATTGGGACTCAAATATGATCAGTTATATGGGTCCCAGGGCCCAGGTGGAAAATATAGCCCAATCCCTGATTTACAGAATTCACCTAACTTACTGGTCGATGCCCAGCAAACAATGATTGGGACTAGAATAGGATCAGTTATATAAGTCCCAGGGTCCCAAATCATAGCTCAATCCCTGATTTACTCCCTAATTGCTGAACAGGGTACTGTGAAGGCCAGTGGTGAGAATGGTTACATGGATGATGCCATGATGGCTACAGCAGTGGCAGATTATGAAAGTGATAATGACTCATTAGTAGCAACTAAAAGACGCCGTGTTAAACAAAACTTGATAGATGATGAGGCTGAAGATGATGATGATGATGAAGATGATGAATTCAAAGGTAATAAGAACCATCTAACTAATTTTAACCATGTCTTTCATTATTTTATTCTCATGGGATGACTGCAAAGTATTGATTGATTTTTAACAGAAATTAGAAAATTAAAGGCTCAGTTGGCTGCTCCGTTGGACTTTGATGACGCTAGTAATGATGTTAATGCTGATACTGCCAGTGAAGTCTCTGTAAAAAAGGTTAGATCACACTCTCTATTCATTCTTCTTTGGTCTGTTCTTGTGCATGTATATGAGGAACACTGGGTACTAGTGCAACATTGTAAATCGTAGCAAAGATATATGCAATATAGAGGCTCTTTTCTATCTTGTTTAATCTGATAACCATTTTTGAAACAGAATGCATAATATTATGTAACAGTGTTCATTTTTTATAACTGATCATAAATCAATCCCTTTTTCCTCCAGCCTGCAGTAGTCCATGTACCTGTTCTCCCTTCACTACAGCAACCATTCCAACCAGCCTCCACTCCTTCTCATTTGATGCATCGCTTTATGGCAAGTCAAATTCTTTTCAGATTTACTCAACACTCCACTCAGAAATAGTGAGAAGGGCAAGAGTAAAAAACATTCGCTGACCTTGTTAAATGTTATCCTTTGGATCCATAACTCTGGGTTGATCTAAATGTATATTGGGAGGTGGCTAACTCACAGTTGAAAAAGTGTGTTAGGAAATCTGGAGAACCCAGAAAAAACCCTTGCTTCAAGGGAGAGGCCCAACAAACTGCTCACATATGATGCAATCCCTGAGACTAACCCTAGACCCCAGGTATGGGAAGTGAGGGCACTACCACTACACCAACCTTGATTCTGAATGGATGGATGGATGGATGGAAAGAAGGATGGGAATGAAGATGAATGGACAGTTGGATGGTTGGATGGCTTTGGATGGATGGATGGATGATGGATGGCTTTGGATGGATGGATGGATGTTGGATGGCTTTGGATGGATGGATGGATGATGGATG